CGCCCCGCCCTACCCGTGTGGAGAGCCGCCGCCGCCAGCAGCAGCGGGCTGTCCTGCCCCTGGAGCGCGCGCGTTTCCTTACAACAAGTCCGTACCTGGCGAGAGGCCGTAGCTCTTCCCCTGCCTCGTTCCTCCGTCTCTGCTCCTCTTTCTGCTCCGACCTCAGCTGTAAGTTTTTCTTCGCCGTGGTTTGCGTCTGCGGCGCTCAAGCAGCTGGTGTCGCGCTCCGGCTTCGCCCGGCTCTGCGGGGGACTGTGTCCCTCGCACGAACCTAGGCCTGCCTGCTGCCGGGATTGTTGGAAGCCCTTTTGCCTTTGATGGATTGCCTGACCTCGAAAGAGAGCCCCTTCGGGCTGTTTTCCCAGAGGAAGGCCCTTGGCTTTGATGGGAGCTGAATGACTAGGTTAGTTCTTCTCTTTGCCCTGTCCAAAAGAGCGTCCTAGAGGAGTTGATTATTGCGCTTGGGAAAGGAGTAAATCTATCTCACAGCTGGCTGTTTAAAACTATAGGGAAACGGAACGAAGCCTGCTTAGTTCACAGGCTGCAGGAGGCTGCAACCATGCAAATAGGGATGCACTTGCAGCGACCTCGCCTCTGTTGTTGGCACGACTTTGCCCAAGGGACTGTGCTTCTGTCCAAGCCTGCTGCTGTCAGAAGCCAGGCTCAGGCTGCCTGAAGCATGGGCTCAGAAACTTGAAGGCACAGAAGAGACCTATTTTCCAAACTAAAGTATCATCAAACATCTTTTTATGAAACCCTTCTCATTTTTTAGAACTTGTATCATTTTCCGGTTTGGCCCAGAAAGACAGACAGCTCTGGCAGCCGGAACAGAAGGCGGGGTGCAATAAAGCTCAGCTTTAAGTTTTTTGGACTTTGCTTCCAGTAGACCCCAGAATACAGGGGTATCCTTTTTAGACCCCAGGATATTTGCTGAATAAATCAATATATGAATCAGTATACGAAATTCTAACTCTGTCCAAGGCAGGAACGTGATGGGGAAATTTCAGCAAAGAAACTAAGCTTAAGGAGTGAGATGCGTGTGTGCTTTTGGTGTTGGAGAGTAAGCCCAGAAGGAGTTCCATGCTGGCTGCAGAATCTGAGAAACAGATTCTGATCTGGATCTATTTGCCACAGACTGAACAGTTGCTAATCTTTCAGAAAGAATAGTCCAACTATACTGTCTCTTGTTGCCATGCTATTTTTGTAGTAGTTAATCACAGCTATATTTGGGCCTATTTTTCTAGTAGGTGACACCTTTTATTGGTTGTGATCAAATTACATTTATCTTTGCATGTAATACCATTTGATTATACAGTATGTGATGTTTGTTTTACAGAGGTAGTTGCAAAACTCTATAAGAAAGAACTGCAGGACCATAACTAGTCTAACTTTTGCAGGTATTCAGCTGGGCTTTCTTCTGTAGATTCTGTAAAGTTTCTTCACTGGGAATACCTAATTGGAAATAGGCTAGTGAAAGAAATGACTGACATACGTAGAAAATAATGGACATTCTCTCCTGATAACAAAATAGCATTCTACAGGCTTAAGGATATAGGGGAAAGGTAAGACCAAAAGGGTTTTGAAGTGGACTAGCATTATTTGGGTGCAGCTAGTGTAGAAAAGAATTCCATGCTGATCCTTCACTGGGAATTTGGGTCATGTTCATATGTTGTAGACTTGAAAAGTCTAGGGCACCTTTTCAGTGAATTTTGGGAATAATAAATAATAAAAACTTAAGAGCAACAGTGAAAAGTTGGATGGAATATGTTACACAGAGGTCAATTACATATCCTGCAGTTCTGTCTCCAGTTTAACAAACTATCAAAAAATACAGATTGGTGATTTTTGAGACTGTAGTCAGCTCTCTGGCATTTTTTTCAAATAGGCTTCCAGTTTCATAGTGTATGTTCAATTTGGATCCCTTACACTTTTAACTCTTCCCATAAGATTCAAAAAGATATTGAATCTATTGTTTTTGCCACATGAAAACTACTTTGGGCTTTGCTTGTTGGATAGTCTCAATGTTATTTCATGTTTTTACTTCCTGAGTTGTAGTACAGATACAACAAGGTAACTGAGTCCCAGCAATATCTTGTGCTTGATAACTAGGTCCTCTTCCTCTGGGAAGTGACCCATGCACAAGTCCTGTTCCTTCTTTGGATGCTTTGAGAAGAGGATAAAGATTATGTGTAGTCTTGGACTCTGATTCAATTACTTGCTTTGCATAGTTCTGAAATTCTTGCTCCTTAAAAAGTGCAATAACTTCTCTCTGAGCATCATAGTCCAAGTCTGCTTGTTTCTCCCGCTGTTTTCTTGCCTGCTTTTCAGCCTGGTGAAGAAAAGGGAATAGCTAAGGTTGATATTTCTTTCACAGCATAGCTATCCATTAAAACAAGAGAGAGGATAAGCTTACAGGAGCTCTGGGGTGACGTTAATCAGTTTATACTTGGCAAAACCTTTCTTCTTTTCAAAATTAATTGAATACTTTAGTGGACCTCAGTGTTAGCTGCTGCTGCTGCTGCTCCTCTCTGGGGAAGGGGATACAAGAGGGCAGCAGTAATTCACACTGACACAGGACAGGGTGTGGTTTGTCATTGCAAGCCAGCCTGGACCTGCACACCACTGCTCAAGAGGAAAGGCTTTGGATTAGCGGCTCCCCAACAGGGATCACAGAATCACAGAACGCCAGAGGTTGGAAGGGACCGCCGGAGATCATCTAGTGCAACCCCCAACACGTTTCAGTAGTGGGGTCACGAGCACAAAGGAAGCTCAAGTGCACAAAGGGGATGTGAATCCCAGAGTGCAGTCTCTTGAAGTCACGCGTGGAAAGTACTGATCTCTCCCCTGTCAGCCCTTTCAGGTAATCCTCCGCGACCGACACGGTCTCCAAGAGACTTCTGTTCCACTGCTCTGAGAGGAGGCTGGTCCCCCACCATCTCAGCATCTGAGGTGCACGCAGGTCAAACAAACAGACGAGCAAAAAGCAACAACAAAAAGCTCCCCCCTCTCTCTTTCTCTCGGCCAGGATCTCGTCCCGTTGCTTTAGATGCGTATTTCTTTCTACGGGGGCTGACACGACACAGCACAGCACTTCTATTTACCATTTGCTGGACCTGAATTTTCTGGACTTCCATATTTTCATCACGACGTCTTTGTTTCTTGGCTTTTTCCTTTTCCAGGTAGACGCGATCTGCTTCCATTAACTCGTGAAGGTCTTTCTTACCCTCTGCTTTTTCCTCCTTCTCCCTTTCCGCTTTCATCTTCATCTGTATTTTACAAAATTCACAAAGTTAACCAAGTAGCTAGCCAGCCAAGTTGGAAGTCATGTCTTTCAGCAAAAGCACCCCCGCTTCAGAGCGGTGATGAGCACGGTCAGTGTGGCTGGCCAGTGTCCAAGCCCAGGGTTTTCAGCAGAGCTGCCAGATATGTGCCCAACATGCGGCGGAAGAGGGACAGAGGACCCCCAGGAAAGATGGCAGATGACCTGATGAAGCATGCTGATGGATGACACCAGACCCACCACCTGTGATCTGGGCCAGGCTCCCTGTTTGGAATAGGCAGTGCTAAGTATGCAAAAACGTTCACACGGATTACCAATGATTATAGAGCCTTCCGCCTCTAATCTCCGGAGAGAGTATCATCACATGTACTACTTGTACATTGCTGAAGCAATTAATCCTAAACCTATATACGGTAAATATGAGAGGTGGCTGCTTAGTGAGAACACGTGTCCCTCTCCATGAAAACTAAAAAGAAGATACTAAAAACTGTTATGTCTCTTAAAGATATTCAGAAGTAGTTTGACTATATCATAATATATTCTTGCCCTCCTTCTACAAGTTTCTTACCACAGTGGCTCTATGTTCAGCAATAGATTCAATGTCAGCCTTTTTTTTTTCTTCTTTGTCTTTGCGTTCTTTTTCTTGTTTAGCTTCTTGTTTTACAATGTCTTTAGCAATACGATCATCTTCCATCTTAAATGCCTCACTCATCTGTGCAGCAAGTCGGTTAACAATGATATCCTGATGTTCCTGCATTAGCCTACAGGAGAACATTAACTGTCATAACACACCAGGGTACCCACCCGGCCTACCTGAGGTTTTTCTGCTACGAAAACAAGTAATGCTTCTTCCACTCTTCTCTCCTCTCGTTGCAGAAGGCCACCCACCCAACTCCTTGACCTCCTTGCATTCCTCCTGTTCTATTCTTTAAAAATATCTGATTTGGTAAATAATTGTTATCTATTTTTTGTGAAGCTAGCTTTCTGTTGCAATAATAAGCTGGATCACTCAGGGAGGAGTCCACTTAGCATCTTGCCATCAGGAGGCACTGTTGGGAGTACTTGATGAGAAGAGGTAAGAGAAAGAAGCTGTTATATTAGCTCAGTGGTATCTTTATGCTGTACTCTCCCTGTTAAATAAATAGTCCATATTTCCTTACTAATACCCTAATGTAATTAATAAAGGTGCATAATTAAGAAGTCACATACATTCTTTTTCTTGATCTGCCTCAGGGAAATATAGCTCATGCTCCAAAACTGCTTTCCAGCTGGACTTTAATTGTCTTCAGTTGCTGAGGGGGTAGAGCTTTTGCAGGCCCTATGGAAAATCACTACTCACAACACACTGGTGTACAGCTTTGCACTTCTGCAATTCTTTGTACTTTGAAGAATGGAGAGCTTCCCCCCTGCCCCCAGTTGTTATTATTGAAGCTAAGAAAGAAATGTCTTTTCTCCTGAATTCCCTGCCTTGTCTATCAGCAGAATTTATTTGCAGGATAACTGTGGTGTGTGTTGCATCATCAGTCTGAAAGAACTGAATATGACTACAGTATAATTTTAAATTATGATCTAGCTTTGTACCTACCTTTGCATTTCAGTTTCTTTTTCATTTCTCAGCTTGGCTATAATTTGCTTTGCTTTAAAATGAGCTCTAATCCGATCATCTTCTTCCTCTTGTTTTTGCTCCTCTACTGCTTTGATTATTTTCTGGTCAGCTACATGTTCCTGCATAGGCAAAATGGTCCTGATATATTTATAACGGATGAAGTTTAGTACATCTGGGCCTTGGGTATCACCTTAAAGGAATCACTCCCTATTCTATCTCTTCATCTTTCTTTCAAAGAAAGAAGATAAGGGATTCTCAGTCCCTCCCCTTACTTCTGCTTCCCTATTCAAGCATCCACGAAGGGGATATAGTAGGTCTGAGAAAAGAGAAGGGGAACTGAGCAGTGAACACAGGCACTTCCTCAACATGTTAAACTCATTGATAGGCAGAGGGATAAATGAAGTATGAGCACTGAGGAACAATCCCTGTTCAAACATGAGAGGAATGGTAGATTCAGAGTGAGGACACCAAGGATTCCTCTTTCATCCTTTGTACACACTGGGTAGGAATGAATGGAAATGGAGAGGAGGGTCAGCGAGATATATATCCTTCCCCGTAGTGCAGGGAAGCAGAAAATGGGGTATAGTGCTGCAATGCTTACACAGTGCAGTGGGGATTATTCCTCACTTGCATTCACTCACAAGCAGGAGAGGGGGAGTTGAGAGGAATGGGAGTATGCAGTCCCCACCAACACACACAGCTGTGTTGTTCCTGGCCCACCTCATCCAAACCTTTCCCAGTCTAAGAGCTCAGCCCAAATACTAGCTGAAGAGGGCTGTTCTAGAGTTTTATGTGAAAGATACCATCTTTCACGTTCTGGTCAAAACCGTTGTGAGGCATTGCTGCTTCAGCTTTAGCAAGGTGCCTTTGGAGGTGAAGAGAGAGAGGGCAGCAGGTCTTGATTTATCAAGACCTGCTAACATCTTGATCAATGAAGACCCTAAACATTGCTGAACATAAAGGGAAGACAAGTTAAAAAGACACCATCATGTTCAACACAGGTTATTCCTTCTTCCAAACAAAAGAAAATGGGCTCAAAATAGAGCCTAAATCCAGTTGTCAAGTCACGGAGGATACTCCTTGATGTCTACAGCAGACTTTTCCATCATAGGCCAGTCAAAGGTCAGGCATCAGTACATTACCACTTCAGACAAGAGAAGGGGCCTCACTCCAGGAGGCCTTCCTCAGAAGCAGGGAGGAAAGAGATGGCCTGCAACTGCCAAGGTACAGATATGAGCTCATGTTAGAGAGGCAGTCAGCAAGCCTCCCTTTGCCCTTAGGCCCATTTATTTAGGTGTATCAAGGCAACTTTCACTCCCCGCAGCCAAAGCAAAACCAGCATTGAACTCTCTGCTTTACTGTTACTTACATGATGCAGCCTCCGACGTTCAAGTTTTTCCACCTGTTCCTTCTCCTTTCCTCTCTGAATTTCCAGTTGGTACAACCGGGTCAATCTCTGAATTTCTTCTCCTTCTCTTTTGTCTTCTAGCTTGGCTAGTTCTGCCTGATGCTTGTGCTCCTTTATTCTGAAACAGAGAAAGGAGTTGAAGAAATGGGCTAGGGACCCCGTAAAGTAGTGAAAGGGCAAGGATTCTGCATGTCTAAAGGTACCCTAGCACCAACAAATGGGTGCTTTGAAGAGGAGGTGGGTAGACTGTGGGTAGCGGTCCAAAATAGCATCCTGTTTTTTAAAGGTAGTCCCACATCCTCTGGCCAGAACCCACCTACACAGTATGCAGTCAGATTGCAGTCTACTGGCAACGTGTTACTTTTTATCTGGATGACCCATTAGCACCACTCCATTCATGACATTCTGACTTATCTCTGCAGCAATGTAAGCAACTAAGATTTCCACGGGTAAGTCCCACGGATGCCTATGTTTTTCCTCCTGCACATGCAGGCCAGAGCTTAAACTGGTAGTGTTCTGTACTAAGTTCTACAGGGATTTATACATTGGACCTGGAATACGTGAGACCAAACTCCAAGCCCTTCCTCTATATCAAGGAATTTGACTTCATCTATCAAAACTCCTGGGCCAGTCCTGTGAACACCCTCTATGAGGTTTCTGGAAAAGCTGAGAGAAAGAGGTGGCAGAAATGCATTCTCTTGGCATGTGGTTATGGCCAAATGGAAAATCTGGTTTAACCTCTTCCTATTCTGGAAAAAAAAGGAGTTAAAATGAATTTTCAGTAACTATTTCTGAATAGTGAGTTGACTAAAATTTAATATTGCCTGCTGGAGGCCATTTTACGTACAGCCTGTTGGCAACTACAAGGCACTGCATATCACAGCTTTTCTCTTTTGTGCAAGATCTTTTTTAGAACTCTAGATCTTTCTTCTAAAACATTGCATTTGTGGACTAAACAATTAATAGGTTCATCTAAAAGCTTTACAGAATATATTTACGAGAAGAGAGTATAAATAAAGAATAAAATAAGATTGGTATTGATTAATTTTTTCTTACTGCTCCAGCTGATCTCTGCAAAGTGCCTTTCGTTTCATATAACGTTCGTTATATGAACGTTCATCCTTTTCCTGCTCTCTGAGAATAGCTTTTTTACATTCATGTTCCATTTCTTCTTCCTTCTTTTTATTAACATCTCGCTTTAACTTTTTAAATTCAACTTGAGCATCTCTTTCTTTTAGGACCTTAGTAAGTAGAAGCGCACTCTACAAGAGAACATTTCAAGTAATTTGCGTGTTCAAAAGTGTTTAAAGAAATTCAGTAAAATTTAAAATTAAGAACAGTAAGTTGTCAACAAACATGTAACCCTTTCACTCTTTCATTCTTATAGTATTGGTAGGTTCTTGCTTGATCGATAGCCTCTTTCCGTTTTGCTGCTTGGAACTGTGCTTCTTCCAAATCAGTTAACCTTCTCTCTTCCTCTTCCCTTTCTGCACATAGCTTTTTGGCTTTAAGTTTCCTTTGTGCCAGGCCCTACAACGCAGATATTTGAGTTTTTTGAATATCATGCTTAAAAAACTTAGATTTAAAATGTATGAACTATTCTGAAAATGATATACTCAATGATTTTTTTTTTTAATTTGAATTTTAGGTTTAGTTAAACAAACTATTTAAAAGGTGTTTAGTTAAAGTACTTACTAAGCACCAAAATTTAAACAAAGGATGTACTGCTAGAAGTATTGCCATGAGTGTTTTTGCATGTATGAAAATGACTGCCCTAGTTCACAAATGTATCTTGTACTTACCATAATGGTATTGGGCCAGTCTTTTATGGCTGCCTTGGAGCGTAAGTGCATTTCTTTCCGTTCTTTTCTCTCAGCAAGGATACGTGCTGCTTCTCTAGTTGTGCTGCCAAGATTGTCTTGAATCCTTTCCCATTCCGCTTTTGGCAATACAATAACCTGATGAAGATCTACGTCACTTGGAAGAAAATATCCATCTAGAACATTATTTTCTGCCAAACCATTTAATGCTATGCATAGGGAAGAAAAGATATTGAGGTTACTTGATGTCAGAGAATCCTAAGTTTAAAGCTGTATGAAGATGTTCCTGTATAGCAATGATACTAAGTTATAACAGTTACTTCCCCCATCCCAGTACCCTACAGCCAAGACAGAGTATCTACATCTGCACACCAAACACGGTCCAGAGTATGTACTTGGGCTGTGCCACAGCATTACCTGGGTGATTTAAATGTTTGCACGTCCCCTTAACTGTTTGTATGTAGTAGGTAGGTTGTGATAGCTAACACTTTTGAGACAGTGTTTGGCATGATTCTGAGGAGCATTCCCAAAAGGGAAAAGGGAATATTGGTGAAGCCATTCTGCTGGGGGCGGAGGGGGCAGGGGGGAGTCAGGCAGAGGGGGCAGCTGTGTCTTACCAGCCTTGGCTTGTGCTCCTCATATTTACTAGAATATATGATTATGATTGTGTGTGTGTGCACGCACACGTGTGTGCATGGAGTGCAAGTTTTCTAGGTGATTAAGTTTTGTGAAATATCCTTCAAATTGATCATCAGTGCTTTCAAAAGAAATGGAATTTTGAACAAAAGGCATTATCTTTGAAATTCTCCTTGTTCAACTGATTTGCAGCAGACTAACATATCTAAAACATAAGGAGGCTTTGACTTACAGTGATACTTATGCTAATATCAAAATCTTTTTAAGATGCAGTTATTAATCAATTTGTCTTATTTGGACTGGGCCTGATCTTCTGCCTCTTTGCAAGATAAAGGTAGCCTTGCCAAAAGTAAACGTGCGTAGCAGCAACCCGTATATTGTTACAGTTGTGTTCCTTGTAGATGCCGAACGATCAGACACCTCCCTCTTTTCTAACTTCTAGGTGTTTCATGGTAGTGTAACTCCACTGATTTCAGGTTAGCTCTTTCTAGTTAAATTTCAAGGAGAAACAGGCATTGCAATTCTTGTCTACAAATGGGTGATCAGGAGGGAGATTTGAGAGGGAGCGCCTTTCCAGGTTTTACTCCCCATTCAGCTGCCCGGTTTTTGTTCAGTGGGTTTACACTTGCTGCCGCTTTTCCAGGGGAGCCCCCTGGACACGGGGAAAGGGGACGCCCTCAAAGCGCCCGGGCACGTTGCGTCCCCGCTCTGAAGCCGGGAGCCCGAGGCCAGCCGCC